CTCCTTTAGCCCTGGTCAAATAAGCCAACCTTGTATTCCTTCCCTGAGTTTTTAAAAATACATTTTAACCCCTTCAAAAAGAATCCCAGAGCTAGTTTTCTGTTCATCTGTGTTTCAAGCCAATTTTTTTTCAGAACTTAACAGATTTCTTTTGTATATCCAATAAGTAAAATTTGCCCTTTTTTTGTCACTTCTAATACAGTCCTTAAAACTTTAAAAGAGCTCTTTTCTATATACAGTAAAAAAAAAATATCCAAGTCAGTTTCCTGGTTCAATATTTGTGTATCTCCTTTTGGGAATAAGTCATCAGTTCCATTTGTGTGCCCATATCTTTCTCATTACTTGTTACATTTAAGTCCCCCTTCAAAGTAATTTCAAAATCATCTGTTGCAACTTCATTACAACATGCTGTATCAATCTTGTCAAGAAATTCATCTATTTTGCCAAGCTTGGCAGGCAAATATTCCCAAGTTTGTATTATAGAGTTCTGCTCCATTTTCTTTATTCTCTAGCTCCCTCTAGTGTCCAAACGTCAAAGTCCCCTTATCATGAAAAAACTCAAAATAATCGCCATTTTTTTCCATGGGAAAATTTCTTCTAATTAATTGAAAGCTCTTTGTGGACATTTAAAATTATAACTCCAAGTCCATCTGCACCCTTAATCCATTGTTAAACTTTCTGAACTCCATACTCTGGGCACCCCTTTGCTGTTTAATCCAAAAGGTAATATTTTTCAAAAGGTTTTAAAAATTGTATTTAAAAGTTCTTTCTCTAAGGAGAAGGCGACTCACCTATTGAATACAATATAACTTGCCATTCCGAAGGATCTTAATCCTTTTAAAGCAGCAGAAAAAAAACCAAATCCAAAGTGATTATGAAAGAAGGCTTGGTTGAGCTTAATGCCCTTTAAAAAGGCTGTGTTAACGACTGTGAGGAAAGATGGTTCCTCCCTCGATTCCCAGCTGCTATACCCATAGGCAAACCACAAAACAAATATTCCTGCGGTTTACTCACAAGGAGTGGCTGTGCAAAGTCATGTGGGCTATCTCAAAGATCTCTCCTTAATCTGGAGAGCATTTTATTGGCCATGATCCTGCATCCCACGCTGATCACCATCATAATGCAGTCCCGCTGAAAAAAGGAATGTTTAGCTTGCCATGGCTCTCAACCAGAACTCTACTATAGCTTCAAATATAATCTGGAGCTAACAACAACAACAACAACATTACAATCACTTTTCTAAAATAAAATAAAATAAATCAGAATTTAAGGAACCTACCTGCAACTTTTCTGCACACATCTCTCTAAAATTTGAGAGTTTTCATTTTTTCAGTAACATTAAACATTCCAGCAAATTCATGTCATTCTGTACAGATGTAAAGAAGTTTCAGCCATTTGTGTGAGTTTTTTTTTTCTGTTAATCAATGGATGGCATACATTTTGTATTAAATGTTTTCTAAATCAAAACAGTCATCTTCTACTTTGGTCTGAGTTAAGCAGGGTCTGTTACGAATATCCATTCAGCCTTGAGTCATATATTGTATTCATTTCACATGCCTACTGGTTACCATAGATTTGAAAAACAAAGTGGGTTTGGTTTTAGGGCAAAAGCAGGCAGTTTCATTCCCTCTGAGAGTTTTGGGCTGCCATTCCATAAGTTTTCATTTTTTTTATGATTGAATCCATACCCTACCTTATTGTTTATTCCAATACTTAAGCTATTCTTTACAGCAATAAAGAAAGAGCGACTGAAATTTGTAGTCTAGTTTCTCAGTAAACCTCAAGATTTCCTACTGTGCATTTAGGATATGAAGTTTGCTACCTAACTGTTGAAGTCCATCCTTGATCTATTGAAAATGACTTCATCAATCTAGTGCTGAACTGGTACTGTGAAAAT